ATATTTTTTGAGAAAGAAAACAAAAAACACATTGGTCAGTTACAGCATGTGTTTGAAGACTTCTATTTATTCTATGAACTTACAATGTTTTAGTAAAATGGCATCAGCTCTGTTTGCTGTTGTATGTGTGCACTTATTGCAAGTAAATTTAAGTATCTTTTTATTTGAATGTATCTTCAACCAGTAGATAGAATAACAGTTGATTCTGAAAAACAGTCATGGACTTAATGGACCATTTTATATACCCAGAGGAAGAAAGCAATACCATAAGAGAACTTAAAGTGTAGAAGGTAATCATGCAATCGGGAAGTATTATTTAGCCTTTAAATAAACTGTAGGAGCTGTCCACCCACCAGAGAAAGCAATTGTAACACATCAGAATGATGAAATTTAATTTTTTTCTTCACTAATATCAATAAAATAACAGAAAAGTTGCACCGTTGTGTGTTACTCAACTTTTTTCCTGTTCTTTTAAGGTGATAAATCTTCCATCTTTATCTCTTGCTCTTATCTCTTAGTTAAAGCAAAGTAAGAAGCCATATTTTTTTAAATTATTAGACACAGAACTGGTTGGAAAGTTTTCAGATTTTAAGTTTGCTGAAATCAGTGAAACTTGAGTCAAAAGAAAAAAAAGAGAAACAAATGTACCTTTTGCTTTTTTAATTTGGATTTTCAGAATGCAGAATTGGATGTATGGTTTCTGTATTTTGAGGAGGAGTTTGCACTCTCCTGCTTAATACAGTACAAAACCTGTAGTAACAAAATGTGAAAGTACAGAATAAGGAGGAAACAACCTGTTTTTTTCAACGGGACTGAGGTCTGGTGTTAGCCAATATCTTTGTTACTGAGGGAGGGAACATTACAGTGATGAAACATCAGATAGTGAGGAACTCAAAAAGCCTGCACACGTGGTGAAAGCTAAGTAATGGAAGAAGCTCCCTGGAGGAGGGAATAATCAAGCAGTATCTCAAAAAGATTAGACAGCCTCATTGAGGAGAAGGATGTATGTGTGTGTGTGTATGAGGTGGAGAGGGAAATAATAGCATTTATATCACATTCTTGCTACAGAGAGAAAATGGGACAGCAGTAATGCCAAAATAAACTTGTGGAGGGCTTGCAGTGTGACGCAGTGCCCTACGCCAGCTGCTAGAGAGGCTGATGCCAGGGGCACATCCAGGGACTGCCAGTGAGTACAGACACTCATCCTTCCTCTCTGCACAGCCCTGAGCCTGACAGAAGCTCATGTTGGGAAGTTAATGGTTAACAGGAGGGATCCAGGGAGGAGAAGCAAGTGCCAGACTGGGGAAGGCGAGAGCTGATTCTGAGATGCGCAGAAGAGAGAGTGCTGAAACTGTTCTCCACCCTTGCAATATTCAAGTATCTCAGGAACTTTTCTGGATGCATCATCGCTTCTGGTAATCCTCCTCTGAAAGCTGGGTTGTAGGGGAGAGGAAGATGAGGTGCTACGGATTATTATTATTAAGACTGGGCTGTAGATGGATCCTGGAATACAGGAGAGCCAAGACTGGCTAAAACCAGCTTTTGAGATTCTTCCCCGCTTCCTTTTACATATATCCTAAGTACTGGATGGCCCCACAACATACTGCTGTTGTGCACAGTGGTTTAAGATCTCCTCCCAGCCCCCTGAACACATTTACTGGCAGCTCTCTGCATTGAATTGAGCAGTGCAGCCATGCCGGTGAGATGTGTCCTGCCTTCCTTTGGTGCAGACAGCACCTTCTGCCTGTGGCTTGTATTCACAGTGAAGAATTAGCCTCGTTCAGCTGTTCTACCACATCTCACTGGGTGCTGCTCCGACCTGCTTTAATTCACTTAACAAGCCAATTGAAGCACAGAATGCTGAGGAAAAGAAGAGGCCTGAAAGTTACTGGTGCTAAGCAATGTCCTTGGCTATAATGTAAGCAGTGGGCTTTCATGTGAGAACTGCATACGCTTGAGGAGCCAGTAATGCTTGTGTTTAAAAGATGACAGAGATCTTTGCCCTGCTGAAATAGGTTTCAAGCTGTGCTGAATCCAATTGCTGTTCCATTGACACAGGTACTTAGAAACTATTAAAGCTTTAACAAGCACACAGCACACAATTTTTTTCTTTCTTTAAGGGAATTTTAATGAACTTAGGGGATACAAAAATTGAACACGTTTAGAAGACTTTCACTGTTCTGCTGAGACACTGAAACGTTCATCTTGTTTGACTTGCAAATTCCTCTGTGCAGGCCTTGGAGAGGGGAGTGCCTGGTCTGCTGTCAGGCTTGCTGAAATGTGCACAGCTGGGCTGCAGCTGCAAACATCTGTCTGGGGCATGTTGCCAACCCACATGCAGCAAGGATGGAGCAGCTGGGGATGCATCAAAGCCAGGGAAAGTAGAGCAGGATCCACACATGTTCCTGTATTAAATACCAGGGGAGATGGGACTGCTCAGGGTCAGGTGCACTGGTGCAGGTGAGGTTTCTCTCACATGCTGCCCCAGCTCCCAGGGAGAGCTGTCCCCTCCTCAGGCATGAGTGCTCCCTCTCTCTTGCCTGGGTTTCCCTTCATTCCTACAAGGAGCACTTGCTGTTTGCACCCTTTTCACAGCTGTTGTATGCACAACTCTGCAAAAGCAGAACCACAAGCTTTTCCCAAATAATTTATGTGGACTTTGCAGCAAGCTACTCCATTCATGAAGATTTGCCCAGCACCTGTTTTGAAATAAAATTAATAAAGCTGGAACAGAACTAATTGAATCAAGCTCATGAAGGAAATAAACTGCAATTAAACACAAAAAGGTATTGATTTTCTATTTTGCCAGTTTAAATTTAGCACCTATGCGCATGCTTTCATAAAAATAAATTTAGATAAAGCTAGATTAAATGTCAAGAGAGTTGGCAGTGCCAGAAATCTGACATCCCAGAAAGCAACAGGAGGTTGTGTCAATGCATTGCTGTGTGTGCTGGAATCTGTGGAGCACTTCTTGGCCCAAGGCCTTTGCTGGATGCTAGGGGCTCCTACCCAGCTGCAGAGCCTCCATTCCTAAGGCTGCTGTTTCTCTTGGATTAAAACAGGGCAGCCTGGAGAGTGGCTTCACTAATGTCACTAGGTAGGGTTGCAGCTACCAGTGCTGCATGACTTTCCCAGGTTTGCTGGCTCCCCTGTTTAGCTCAAATTAGCACCTCCAGGTCACCTGGTAGCTGAGTGGTGTCTCAGCAGCCTTTACAGGCCTCTCCCATCTCGGGAATTTCTTCTGTCTCCAGAGGAGCAGGTGATGGATATTTTTATGATAATGAGAATTATGTTGCCGAGCTGCCAATAGCCAGCTGCTAACAGCCGGCTCCCCCTTGCCTCGAGGAACAGCACTGTGTCCCAGAGTCACAGTCCCTCTTCATAAATACTGCAATTGCCTCTGTAATTAGTTCTTTATTCTTTACCCTCACTTGTGTCAGTCAGGTTCTGAAACCATTTTTGTGTGTCAGGAAAAGACACCCCTGTTCCTAGGGGAGCGACATGTAAAAGCTGCCAAATCCATCACCTGACTGCACTGAGGGCTGTGCACTTTCATAGACATCTTCAGAGACCTTCAGAATAGAAGAATGGGAAAGAACATCTTTGTCTCTCCATCATCTGCCTGTAGGAAATGAAACAAATGAGAAAAAGAAAAGGTTTGTTTTTTTCCTGGTGATAATATTCCACAGTAGCAAGGCTTGATTTGTAACATCACCCACTCCCAGAGCCCTGCAATATATCACAATTTTACATCTTTCATAAATTTAAGCCAGGAATGGAAACATTTAAAAATACTGCTTGAATGTTCCTGACATTGATTTAAAAGACAGCAAAACAGATACTGAGTTTTCTCTCAAGTTACTTTTAACGAAATATCTCTTTCGTGGTAAATGTATAAATAAATGCGTTTTTAGATTTATTTGTATTTTCCTGAGGTTAAAAAAAAAACAAAATGAGTGGTTTTAATTTCTTGTTTGAAAGTTTTGGAAAAAATGGGCACCTTGCACTATTTTGCTGTGAGCAATAACCAAAACCAATGAGAGAATTCAGGTGATTTAGGACTCTATTCCTGGAAAGGAACCTAAAAAAGCTAGGCTAGGTGGCTTGAAAACTGGTTGACTGGGAGGAGCTTGAGAGGAAGAAACACAGAAAAGCATTTCCATGTTTTCTGTATGAGATGCACAAAAAAAAAAAAAAAGGTGTTACTAGAGAAAAAGACTCCTGTTATTTTGCTGAATTCTTCCTTTCACTGCAGATTCTGCAGGTGCTGTTTGCTCTCCCAGCTGCTGCTGGGAGCAGCTCCTCAAAGTGTTTTTGTGCTCAGCCCTTGGCACAACCATTTTGGTTCGTTTCCCAATATTGATTTTAGAAGAATTTTGGTTTATTCCAAATATTTTCTACGTATTCTCTACACTTTGTGTTTGCCTATCAGGTGCTGTAGAAATTCTGTTGCTTTCCTTTGGCAAGCACCTGCTTTCCCACATGTGACAAATATATTCCTTTTTGTATGAGTGTATACCATACATTCAGGAGAAACTCTGTGAATTATGCAATGTGAAAATCACCTCCTTTACAATCTAGAGCATTCCTCACCTGTGAGATCCAGCTGCTGAAGGAGATTCAGGATCTGCAGGGAGGTTGGTTACCTGTGGTGGAGAAGGAGTGTGCAGGTAAAACACATTTTTTGCAGCCTTCCCATGGGCAGATGGGAATGACTGCAGCAACTGCAGGGTGCTGGCTTTACACAAGCTGGGATCACTGCCCAGCTCTGAACCTGGGGCCCTCTGCCCTGCTCTGAGCCGGGTAAGAGCTGGGCAGAACCTCCCTCCTCTCCACTGGGCAATGGCCAGCTCAGCCTCTGTGACACTTGGGATACCTCTTTCCTGGAAGGACACTGTAACTAGACTGCTCCAACACCTCTCCCTCTCAGGATCACCTTCTGCTCTGTTCAGGAAGCTGTCTTCACCCCTCCCAAATGAATGTTTAGCTCACCATGCAGCTGGGAATGCTCTGTTTATTCTGTGATTTGCAGCAGAACTTTCACACAGAATTCACAACATAAAACAAATAAGCCAGGACGATGAAGCATGTTGGTGTCATCCCTCTTTTTCACTGTTTTAGCACTGTTGGCTGTTCACTGCAAAGATGTGAGCTCAGTGTATAACTCAGTCCTTTGCAAACAGGGTCACCATGAAAATAGCTGGTCTTTTCTGGCAGTATTGTGCTGCTGTGTTTATATTTTTACAAGTTCCCTAGAGTTCAAAGCTATTGGGACAGACACGAGATTTCTCTGAAAAATAGATAATCTGACAGTTCAACCCGTGGAATATATTTACAGTGCCAAATAAAGGCATTATGATATCTTTCTTTTATAGTAAGACACCCAGAAACATGCAGTGGCAGGACAAGAAGAGATAAGTGAAATCATTTTAATATAGTATCAATGTATGAGAAAACACAAAAGAAAGAAAATGTTTCTGGAAAATTCTGCATATATATGTATTGCATTGTATAGTCTTACAGACAAACTTATGTCAAATACATGATTTTAAATACTTTAAAACACTGATTTGAAGAGGACAACAAATTGATTTATCTTTTTTTGTACAGACATGGGAGTGTGATTTTTTTTTCCTCATTGCTATTAGTTTGGTGTTCTTCAGGAAGAATACTCATATTCTTCAGCACTGCGGCGTCCAAAATCCATCCAGCCCATGTAGTCTCTGTCATTTATCCTGTGAGTAGGATCAATGCTCTGTACCCTGTTTCCCATAACTGAGAATCTTCCAGTGGAACCTAAGGAAAAAAGCATTTGGGAGAGCAGAGAGTTAAGAGGACACATTTTCCAGGTTCACTCATGTTCTGATCTGGCTTCTGCTCATTAGCAGATGTCTGCAATAGTTGAAATGGACCTAATACAATTAATGTGACACCACTGTCATGTCATTGGGGAAAACACCAATAGAACCTTATAGGTAACACCCTGGAAGTGGCTTGGATTTTTTCAGTGCAAAATAAACAGATCATTTTCTACCTCCTGCTGCAGGAGCATTCTGTTCCTGCCTGACAAAAAGGAATATAGATAGATTTTTCCTTTTTTCTTCCTATTTTACTACAGAGAGAGACTCTAAACTATTTCTAACTATTCCTATAAAGCTCCATGTTTGCTGTCTCATTCTGGGAGAGCTGCTCTACATGTAAAACAAGTCTTCTTGAGAGCAGACTCAGCCTGAGACACCACAGCCCTGTGTTGCTTAAAAAGACCTAAATGTAAGTACAGGATATCTTACAGTGCAAATTTGGCAACAAGCAGGGTAGAGTTATGAATCCTAGATTTTGTGGACAAGTGGGAATAGTCCTGAAGGGAAGAAAGTTGTGTCTGGAATTCACAGTTATTATGTGGAATTATGCAGGCCTTTTTACTACATCAGGGATTTTTTCATTGCTTATCCAAAGCCTTCATAATTCTTTTCACAGCAGAGTCGGATGCTGAGTTCTGATCTTGCCTCATCCTTTCTGCATGCCTTGCTTAAGGCATCCAAGAGACACAAACTATTTGCACGGAGAATTTATGCTTTAAAAAAATGGGCTGCAATCCTGTTTTCACAGCATCACATGGTGTAACTAAAAAATACAGGGACAGGTAAATTGCTTCTCTCTGTACTCCCTGAAAACAGACAAAATTGATATATAACAATAATTAGATGGAGGTAAGCTTTGAGTGAGGAAGGGACAGATTTAATATGTTAGTATTCAATGCAGACTGAGGCTTGAGGAATACTTGAATTGATCAAAAAGGAAAAGGAGCCCAAATTAAATCGCATAGATCTAAATCTACACAATTGCTTTGCTTTCAGTTTCTTGTGTTTTGAACAAATCTCTATTGACTCTGAACTTTTATATTTTAAGGTCTTCCTCATGTAGTTCTTTATAATGAACATGACTCAGTGAAACAAAAAGCAGCTGCATTGCTTTGTTAGTGGTTGCAGGGAGTTGAAGGTACACATACAAAAAAGCCATTAAGACATTTACCTACAACAAAATGACAAAAAAAAAAATTTTCCCTAGAATAGAATGTCTATCATTAAATGCTCATGAAGCTCATGCCATTAAATGCCATGAAGTTCACATTCATAATTCAAGAAGTGTAATTAAGGCAATGACAATGCCTCCTTAGCACAATAACCAGGCAGGGCTCAGGCAGTGCAGAACCATCACTCAGATGTCGATGCTTAAGAGACTTCTGAGCCTGCCATGACCTGAGGGCCATAAAGGCTCCCCTGGTGCCACTACTGTCTGGCCAGCCAAGGGCTCCTTAGAGGACATTAAATGTGCCTGTCACTGGTTTGAGAGCCACAACATCTCTTCTGCATGGCACCAGATTCAAGCTGAAAGCCTGCAGATGAACATAATTGAAAGCCTGGGTGACAAATTTCCTAACATCACCTTAATTACCTCTCCTGAATCCACTAGAGATGTCATGTGGGTATTGCAGGATCAGTGTATGACAAACATACTCAAAGTTGTAGCAGTTCATCTACAGGACTGCCATCAATCCCTAAGCCCTTGAGAGAACTTAGCTCTATCACTGATTTAACTAGAAATACTTTACAAAACCAGCCCTTCATCAGGGCAAATGCTACTACTAGTGACTGCTAACACTAACAAAAGTCCGGGCTCTCTCTGGAATTTTCTAGTGATTATTATGGTTTAGATATTAGGTGACTAATACAGTAGGTGTGAGTGTTCTGCAGAGATTGCTGAAGTACTGTCCAGAGTCTTCACATTAAATGAGAATATAATGTTTTGATGGGAACACTGTATATAGGTTACAATTTAAATAAATACTGGTTTTCCTGTGAATTTTCTCTCCAACAACTACATCTACAAACTAGAGTCTAACTAGTCTAGTCACATCACAAGAATCTCATCATCTGCTTCCAGACTATTTTTAGAATTAATTATATATGTCAATAATACATATGCAGGAAAATGTCCCTCATATTAATATTTACAAAAAAAAAATTAAATCCAAAGGGTGTTTTTTTTTTTTTTTTTTTTTTTTTTTTTTTTTTTTTTTTTTTTTTTTTTTTTTTTTTTTTTTTTTTTTTTTCTGGTTAATCTATTTGGAAATGTCAACCACATATTTAAGAGAATATAATGGCTATATAAACTAGAATGAGGACTTCCGTTTCCATGTGGGTGGGCAACAATGACTATGCTGGGGAAAGGTAATGAGAATTCTGCTTTGCAGACTGCTGCAGTAACAGTCTTATTCCATAACAGCCTTAAGTGCAGTGCTGAATTGTGGAATTTCATATCTGAATTATCTCTCCATTTAATTGCATGAACAGCTAAAAGTTGTTTCTTAATGGTTATCATGCAAATCGTTAACATGAGATGAAATCTTTCAGGCACTATTGGAAGTAATTAATTTTTCTGTTGTTTTTAATTTGGCTGTGTTCTGAGTACACAGAGGAGTGTGTATGGCTGCAGATGTAATGCACAAAAACCAGATGTGGCATCTCTTAATTGCAGACCACCATCACATATACGCATAGGACTTTGCTGAGCATAGAGATCAGCAGGGAAGCTGTCAAGAGGTGAGGGTTAAATGATCTGCATTATGTGGAGAAAGCTCTTTCTTATATAAAGTGAACTTTATCCTAAGCACAGTCTGGGGCTAGGTGTGAATTAATTTCTCAATGTCTGTTTGTCTAGGTAATCCTAATCCTAATTACTGGCTTCTCTTGAAATCCTCTTTTCTTCTTAGATGTCTTTTCTGTGTAGAACAGGGCAAAGGCTGGAGTGAAGCTTTCATGAGTAAACAAAATTTCTCTAGTGGCTCTCACTGAGGTTGGCAGCCAAAAGGCCACAGCAATTAGGCTGCCCATGGTGTTACTCTATTGAGACACCAAGCAGGACAGAGATGAGACAGCTCAAAAGGAAAAATGTTTTCTTGGGGAAGTTTCAGTGGTCAATGATTTTGGACCATCATTTTTACTGGTAGCACCAATGGCATGCTTTTCTGCCTATATAAGATATATTCTGTAAGGTGTCAACAGGGATAGCTTTACTCTTTCTCTCATGCAATACAATTGTTTCCTCAAGTGGCTAATAAATCTCATTATAAGAATGTCCTGAAATCCCACTGCTCTACTGATTCTTCATGTCCTTGTTACACAGAGACATGGAGGTTTTAGATAACTGCAAGATTGTGTTCCCAGGCTGCCCGAGACCGAAAGCCTACCAGGAATTAATGTGTGTGGAAGCAAATATGTTTTTGCTTATCATTGATTTTAATTATTGCACTAATAAATATAAATTCAGTGTTTTGAAAGCTTTCATGCTATCATCATTTCCTCTGGGAACAAATATATGAAAAATCCAATACTCAGAATATTTCCTTGGAACAGGGATTTCTGACTGAAGTGAGGCTAGCCATTTGATCTGCATTTGTCCTCAGAAAAGTCTTCCTGCTCTTCTAACTTTAAAAGAAGGAGGAAGAGAGTATTTTAACTAAATTGAGAGACTTCAAGGAAAACATAATTATTTTATCTGAGATACAACATAC